ATTATTTTGGGCAAAAGCTATGAATACAGCAGTTTACTTGCTGATAGACTTCAACCAAAGCTTTGAAGAATCAAACTCCATTTGAAGCATGGCATGGAGTAAACCAACTGTGAATCATCTCAAGGTATTTGGAAGTATATATTATCTCATATTCCAAACAGCAAGAGAAGCAAACTTGATGAGAAGGCTGAAATTAGAATCCGGATAGGGTATAGCAGCTCGACTAAAGCTTACAAAAATTCAATCCAAAACAAATAAGGTTTTGACAAGTAGGATGTCAAGGTAGATGAGTCTTCAACTTGGATGGGAAAGAAATGCAGCTGGATGATAAAAGACTGTAGCAGGGAAAAGAATTTTCTACAAACCAGATGATTTAAGGCAAATTCTGGTTTTGATCGAAAATTCAGTTAGAGGCACTCGGCTGTTGGCTGAGTGTATGAGACATGTAATGTAGCTATTTTAGACCCTACAAAATATATTGAAGTAGCAGAATTAGAAGAGTGGGTACTTGTTTGAAGGAGGAGTAAATATGATAGAGAAGAATGAAACTTGGAGCCCGGTGGATAGGCCATTGACATAAATATATCCCAGTCAAATGGATTTTCAAAACAAAGATGAATTGATGGATCAATCAACAAGCTCAAGGCCAGATTAGTGGCAAAGGGCTATGCACAACAGTGATGTTGATTTTTCAGATACATTTGCTCCAGTTGCAAGACATGACACAATAAGGCTATTGATATCTTTATAGCTCAAAAGAGGTGGAAGATTTTCCAATTAGATGTCAAGTCAGCTTTCTTGAATGGCTACTTGGAGAAGAAAATATGTGGAGCAACAGAAGGGTCTACAGGGGAGAGAATGAAATAAAGTGTACTTGTTGAAGAAGGCTTTACAGCTGAGAGAATGAAGATAATGTTCATGATTCTACTCTACCAGGCTTTAGGCTTAAGCTTGGTGTTTCTAGCAGAAATATCAAGGGGGAGTGTTAATCCAAGTGATATTTTGCTGAAACAGCGTATGGATCTAAGTCATGCAATCTGAGACTCAGTGAGCTAAGATATGCGATCTGAGACTCACGAGCTAAGATATGCGATCTGAGTCATGTGAGCTGTTAGGATATTCGTTAACACACTTTGGGGTTTAAGTACACATTTTAAGGTGCAGCGGAATATTACCAAGTGATTAAGCAATCCAATTTGAACACATCAAACATAGGTGCAGAAAGTAAAGAACACAACCATATACCTGGTTCGGTTAAATCCACTTTTAGCCTACATCCATGGGACCTTGTCCAGATCGAAGCAATCCCCTAAGTCAAAAACACATTATAAGATATAGTTCAAAGTGATCTAAATTACAGTAAAAAGAACCCTGTTCAACTTTACACTTAGCACTACACTATGAATCCTTAACGTGTAGCAACTCTTCGGATCTCTTTATGCTGGGAACACACCTGTGAACAGCTGTAAACCACCAAACTTCAAGTGTAAAACAACACCCAGCTCAACAAATGAACCACGTTTCAAGAGCCATCAAGTCAGTTTGATATGCTGAGGTTTTGGCACTAATGGAGAAAGAACCTGAACCTTTAAGAGAAATAATACTCTAAGAAATTCAGAGACAGAATGAAACAAGTGTCCAAAAAGGTTAGATCATTTACGCAAGAAGAAAAATAGGTAATGAAGAGTTTTTTACTTAGCAATGAAGTGTGACATCAGCCAACAAGGGGCTGACCCATTGTTTGTCCAAATAAGGAAAGTATTCCTTCTTTTGGTTTGGACCACAAAGCAAATCGGGAAAGGTTACTTTATTCCCTAGGACCACCTAAGCATTTTTGCGACATATGTAAAGAGGTCCTAAATAAGAGACAAAGATAAACAATATCTTTTCAACTTTATCAAACATGCAACTCATGTTGAGTTGCAAAAAATCTGAAGTGAGAGTGTAAACACAGACCATGTTGTACACACGCGAAACGAAACAAACCAAGACACAAGTCTGGCAAACAGTGTGCTAAGAATGGGTGCACACACACAATAGATGAAACAAGCCAAATAAGAGAATTGGCAAACAGTGTGCACACATAACTATTGTGCACACACATAACTCATAAGTTTAACAAAAATGAATACACACGAGCTTAGAAGTGCAGAGCTGAAGATTGCAGCTGAATGAGATCTGAAAGAAATGTATTTGGAGCAAAAATCAATGCTGATTATGTCAGTTGTTTTTGTTAACTACTACAACAATGCCACGGGATTTCAGGATTTTACATTAGATTAGGTTGTGTTAGATAAAATTGTGTGGTGCTGCTGTAATGTTAAGTAAATATCTCTGCAACATTAGGTCTAATAGTTGATGTAAACTTTTGTGTAATTGAAGTTAAAGTATAGAACAGTGTGAGAAAAACAACGACTCTTTAGAAAAACTTTCCTTTGTATTAATTATGTTCTTCTTTCTCAACATTCTTAGCCTGAAAAACCAACAATTTCTTCAATTGTTGTCCCTTAGTCTCCGCACTACTTTGCAACAAATAGCATTGATAAATCGCAAATGCCTGCAAATATGAAAAATGTTCCTGCAATTGTGTAAAAAATGTTATATATTAAAGAGTGGCATTCATAAGTAATAAATATGTTGAGAATGAAAGAGATAAAAGACAAGGGGTAGTCGGAAACAAGAAGAGCACAACAACTGAGTATACAAATTAGCTGTTCAGAATATAGCAAGACTGCAAGAAGTTTGGTTCAAATTAAGACTAACAGATAGGATTTTCTCTCATACTGTAGAAACTTATTGAAAGAAAGTGAGCACTCAATTATTTCTGGGATGGACCTCACCAAACAGGAAAAAATTTCTGACATGACGGGTGCACTTCCTATTACTTCAGATCAAAAAGCCTTCCATATTATATAATGATAAGATTTCTAACATTCTGGTACTTTATTTGCTGCAGCACCTGCTGATTCTGAAATTGTAAATGGGCGAACTAGAATTTGGATAGTGGAGAGCCAGAAGTTTTTTATGGGGGCACTGTTCTTTACTCGTCTAGGTGGGCTATTAATGATAGTTTGAAAAATGACCTAAAAATTGATCTGAATGTGTCGAGCAATTATTATCATGTTTGTTTCGTTTGTCAAATTTATGTAGGGAAGTGATTTTTAGTCCCCATCAAATGTTCCGTATCCCCCACTTTTAAATGTTTTATTTTTTATTTTTTATTGACCTAATTAAGTTTGAAATTTAGAAAAAAGTAGTAAAACAAAAACCCTAATAAGTTTAATGGGGAAAGACTTATAACAAAAAACCTAATTCAGTTTGAAATTGGAGAAAAGATTCATCACCTCCTGAATCTGGAATCATGGCAGACCTACCACGTTCGGTGGCAGCAGTAAGCTTTTTCTTTCACTTATAAAATCACTTCTTGAACTCATATATACGCATAGATGCACATGCACATCTTAATGTCTAAAAGAAATGTCTTAGCCTAATGTCAATTAAGACCACCATAGAATAAAGATAGGACATCAGACCTACCTTGTCCGAAAAGAATCTTAAATAATTATGAAAGGTTCAAGGAAAGGTTGATAGCATTTTACCATTATTCAGGGAATCATCAAGATAAATAGATGTATAATCTTTTCATTCTCTATTCATTTTACTTCTATACATACAGATTATAGATTTTGCCTCGTATAGTTGATCATTTCATCTTTCTTCTCTTTTTCATTATGCAGTATTCAGTATTCGGTACGCTAACAATAGTAGGTTTGTAATAAATGGGATATATGATAGATGATCATCGGTCGAAGAGCTATAAGTATTCTATACACTTTCTAGTTGACCATTTTACCTTTGTAATGTGTTCAATCAAATTCACATAAACAAGCTAGACAATGTGGGTTTTGGAATTATTCGCAAATATAGTACCTAAGATGGAAATAAATCACTTGGATCAAAGTTATAGGTCTTTTATTTAAACTACATCCTTTAGTGCTTCATTATTTTTTAATAGTTTCAGTAAATAAAGTATATATATAATGATTCGTTGGACGACTTTTCAAGTAGTGGTGGACTACTTTGAGGCATAAGAACTCGTACGAGTGGGAATTTATTCTGTATCCATTTTCTTTGGCTGGAATATGAACTTTTGACCCATCACTTTTGATATTTCCTTTATAATATTAAAACACCCGTTTTCACCAAGACATAACTAATTATCCTAGTGGATGAATTTATTTATTCTTAAAGTGCCCAGCTGGATCAATAATTAATAGCTGAGACAATTAGATTTCAGAATTCCACGTCTATCACAGTATCACCATGACAGAATGCCTTTATATCATAAATTAAATATGCTGAAAGAATCCATAATGGCATATTTATATAAACTCTGCACCACTGAAAGCATTTGAATCATTGTCTGATAAACTCATCGTTTGCATACTTTCACTGATAAGTTTTATTCCGTGATATTTTTATTGATTTCCATTCACCCCCTCTAGAAATATTTAGCCATACTTAGGTTTATATCTTATTGGTGAGAGAGGTGAGAGAGGGTCATTTCTGCTTGAATTTCTTCAAGGGTTCGCCCCTTTGTCTCTGGCAAGCTTTGCAACAAATAGAATAGTTAAACCCCAAATGCTTGAGAATATAAAAAAGGTTCCTGCAATTGATTATGTAGAAAGAATTAAGTTCATAGCCATAAAATTTATAGTGAAAGGGAAATAAAAGGTTGGGGGGACGGCGGTTAAGGTATACCTGTAGAGCTCCATTATCATAAAATTGAAGGAGTATGAAATAATCCACCCGGTTAAAAATAGGCAAAGTTGCAAGGCTTCCACCTGAGCCCTTTACATTTACAGGAAACCTGAAATGGAAAGTCATCGTCAATTTGGAATCTTACACAGAAACCATCTTTTAGTGCTGAAATTCGTTAATATTTCGGGAAAAAATATGAATGTGGAATAAAACTTGATTGAGTTTTATACTCAGACATATTACCGTAGGTAACCCTGCCATGCCCATCGAGAAAGTTACAGTATACAGCTGATTAAAAATTACAGCATCAATAAACACACTACCTAATATTGATATATTCTTTGCAAAAACCAACAATATAAAGATGAAGAATAGAAGGAATAACATTGTAATGTGTTACCATTATGCCAAGATAAACTAAATTGGAGTGATCTCTTTCCAATAGCCATGTTCCTGATCATTAAAACAAACATGATAAGGGACTTCATATAAAGTACAATAATCAGTTCGGCATAAATTTTAAGTTTTAAGAGAAACCTGCAAACAGAATGACAAGCCAATAAGAAGAAACTCAAGCAGTTTCCGGTGTTGGAAACCGTAAGAAGTGGTCTTCTTCCACATTATGTCAGGATAACAGAAGAACAACCGCAGGAATCTGCACAAAATTTTCAGTTGGTATATGAAAATGCTGAACGAAAATTGACCCTATTTACTTGCAATTTGTAAGAGTAAATACCTGGATATAGCGATAGAGATGGTCCCAATTGTACTTGAAAAACCTATAAAGATTCGTATTATTAATTGTTTAGACATGTTTATTAATTAAAGAATAAGCAACACTAAAAGGCTTTACTACTGGCATCTTCAAATATGGAACTGGCGTAAAATGAAATTCCAGTATTCCCACCCAAATTCTGTAGTGACAAAGCCCTACTCCGACCTAAACAAATCAAAGAATTAATTAACAGGTATAGAGTAGTCACAGTCACGAAAGGCAAACTTCCTCGACAAAAAGTTTATCTTTACATATATATTTTTTTTCTTTTTTTTTTTTCTTTTTTTTTTTTTTTTTTTATAACTCACTATAAGGGAATGTGCATATCTAGGTTGGAATAAGTTGAAGATTCGATCATTTGATTGCTGTGAAAGGCCTCTGGTTAAAGCTGCTCAGTAACAAAAAGTTAATATATTCATACTTACTAAACATGGGATATGCTAAGACTTGAAAAAATGAAAGAAGTGGAAGTTCACTTTGATGTTAGCTGCTTCTGAGAAATATCAGCATCCCTTCTCTAAGTTCTGCAGAGTAGCATCTAATTCTTTCTCTCGACCAGTCATCGCCTGCAGGCATGCAGTTCAATACATATTTAGCATTTTAAAAGATTTGCATATGATATATGCTTCAATGACTCTAATTTGTAGACACTATATAGAATAGGATCCACCAGCCATCTAGGGGATTCTGGAATGAAGAATATACCAAACACTTGCACCATGCATGGAATAATAGCTTAAATTTTAAACAATCTATGGTTAATATGTCTTTGTAAGTAGTAAATCAAATAGTTCATGAAAGGGCTATAAGAAATTACCAATTAGAGCCAGGGCGCGCCAAGAAACAACAGTTCCAAGAAAGAACATTAATGATATTCCACAAGTAAGCATCAACTTTTTATACTAACAATATTTGTGCATAATCAATGAGTTGGATAGACTCAATATCACAATCTAATAGTAAAATGCTAAGATCTTACCGTATTAGCTGATGTTAATGCTCCTCGAATATTCTTAGGAGTAATTTCTGAAACATATACAGGTGCCTGTTTTAAAACAAGAGTGCAAGAACTTTCTCATGACACAATAATGTTTATAAATTAGTCAACTATAAAATGCAGCAGTTATTACTATTACCAGATAAGCCATGAGGCCAGTTCCAATTCCCAGTGATGCTCTTCCAAGATCCAAGAACCAGACATCCTTGAAACAATCATTTAATTGATGAAACCCATCAAGAGAACAAACAACAATTGGAATTCTAAGTTGTATATGAAAATGTTGAATAAATTATGAGGAAAGTGAAAATATGTCTAAACAAGAAACCTTGGCAAAAGCTATAGCCAACCACCCCATGATGAAGAAAAAATCTGCAAACCAGAGAGCCTGTTTCATAAGACCACCAAATTAGTTGAAAATTAGTCGAAAAGTTAATCAGTTGAGAAGGAAAACTTACTTTTCTCCGACCAATGAGATCAGCTATTTTCCCATTTATTAATGAACCTCCCAGTCCACCAATTGTTATCACTGAACCAAAAACCGAGAACTGGACAGAGACAAAAGTAGATCATGTAATTTTGGTTGAACATTTAATCAGCATAAAATCTAGTTAACAAACTGGTTTGCTCACAACACATAAGAGGTAATGATAGAGGACACAATTACTTACTGCTGCCACTGAGAGGCCCAGGTCCTCCCTGATTCCCGATTCAGCAGGCGACGAGTATCCTGCCTGCGAAACAAGAAGAAATTTCCATACCAGCCATTCAAACCTCAAATTACATCAATGCCTAATAGAGAAAAGATACAGTACTTACACAGCAGCCAAAAACGAAGAAACCGCATATGGCAATGAAGGTGCTGAACAAAACAGTAGGAGTAGCGGAAGAAGCGCTTTGATATACATTTAATTCACTGCCATCACCAATGCCTCCATTTGGTTTAAGAATTGAAGAACCTGGTAACAGTCCTTCCTCCAAGCTCTGTCTCACCATATTGTGCTTTCTTGAAAGAAAGAAATGGAGATTGAAATTTGTTGACTATCCAGTAGGATTTTCGAAGTGACTAACAGAACAGTATTCTATTTTGTACATTTTGAACTGTTACTTTACTGTCTACCAGTTAGTTTTTCCTAATCATAACCACACTTATAACTTCTCACATTTTCTTGGGCCAAGGGCAGAATTGGACTCCTACTTGAAGAAACTCTTCTGGTAAACATGTGATAATTAAGCATACCAACCTCAACTCCCCCTCCCACGAGCAGCTCTTCAAACTTTCAAGTGAAGAAGATGTTGACCCAGAACTAGTGTTGACTCAGACGGATAACAAAATTATTATAATATAAATGACAAAGAATTTATGTTTATATTATAACAAAAAAAAAATGATGTCACCATTAAATTAAGGTGAGTCGTAGCACTAGTACCACAGACTTTTTCTCTATATTAACGTGAAATAACTGTCCCAAAAGTGTTTTATATATTGAATACTTGATACCCATCTGAAGTTCCAAAAAAATGACTCCATCTACCAGTCTCACCTAACTTTGTTTCCAAAATCACATGTCCAACCCTTTACAGGTACTTAACTCTTGACACTTTGTTTCAAGGAAAATGATCCCAATTAAAAAAATAAAATAAATAAAATAAAATCCATATTAGAGAATGACTATACAAATTTATGGACGTTTATTAGGAGTCCCTGAAGTATCTGTATATATGTTATTGATGAAAGAGGGTCATTGATGCTTTGTATTTCATCAAGTGTTCGCCCCTTAGTCTCTGGCACAAGCTTTGCAACAATAGAATAGTCAAACACCAAATGGTTGAGAATAGAGAAAGTAGAGATGTCAAGGTAGATGAGTCTTCAACTTGGAATTGGGAAAGAAATGCAGTGAAGATGATAAAAGACTGTAGCAGGAAAAGAATTTTCTACAACCAAGATGATTTTAAGGCAAATTCTGGTTTTGATCCTGAAAATTCAGTTAGAGGCACTCGGCTGTTGGCTGATGTTGATGAGAAGTAATGTAGCTATTTTAGACCCTACAAACTATGAAGTAGCAGAATTAGAAGAGTGGGTTTGTTATGAAGGAGGAGATAAATATGATAGAGAAGAATGAAACTTGGAGCCGGTGGATAGGCCTATGACATAAATATATCCAGTCAAATGGATTTCAAAACAAAGATGAATCATGATGGATCAATACAACAAGCTCAAGGCCAGATTAGTGGCAAAGGGCTATGCACAACAGTATGAGTTGATTTTTCAGATACATTTGCTCAGTTGCAAGACATGACACAATAAGGCTATTGATATCTTTAATAGCTCAAAAGAGTGGAGATTTTCCAATTAGATGTCAAGTCAGCTTTCTTGAATGGCTACTTGGATGAAGAAATATATGTGGAGCAACCAGAAGGTTCTACGGTGAAGAGAATGAAGATAAAGTGTACTTGTTGAAGAAGGCTTTACAGCTGAAGAGAATGAAGATAATGTTCATTGATTCTACTTACCAGGCTTTAGGCTTAAGCTTGGTGTTTCTAGCAGAAATATCAAGGGGGAGTGTTAATCCAAGTGATATTTTGCTGAAACAGTTCGTATGCGATCTAAGTCATGCAATCTTGAGACTCATGTGAGCTAAGATATGCGATCTGAGACTCATAAGAGCTAAGATATGCGATCTGAGTCATGTGAGCTGTTGGATATTCGTTAAAACACTTTGGGGTTTAGTACACATTTTAAGGTGCAGGGATATTACCAAGTTGATTAAGCAATTCCAATTTGAACACATCAAAATAGGGGCAGAAAGTAAAGAACACAACCATATACATGGTTCGGTTAAATCCACTTTTAGCCTACATCCATGGGACCTTGTCCAGATCGAAGCAATCCACTAAGTCAAAAACACATTATAAGAATAGTTCAAAGTGATCTAAGTTACAGTAAAAAGAACTCCCTGTTCAACTTACACTTAGCACTACACTATGAATCCTTAACGGTGTACAACTTCTTCGGATTACTTTATGCTGGGAACACAACTGTGAACAGTTGTAAACCACCAAACTTCAAGTGCTAAACAACACACCCAGCATCAACAAATGAACACGTTCAAGAGCCATCAAGTCAATGTTTGATAGGCAGGTTTTGGCACTAATGGAGAAAGAAACTTGAACCTTTAAGAGAAATATACTCTAAGAAATTCAGAGTACAGAATGAAACAGTGTCCAAAAAGGTTAGATTCATTTACGCAAGAAGAAAAATAGGTAATGAAGAGTTTTTACTTAGCAATGAAGTGTGACATCAGCCAACAAGGGGCTGACCCATTGTTGTCCAAATAAGGAAAGTATTCCTCTTTTGGTTTGGAACACAAAGCAAATCGGAAAGGTTACTTATTCCTAGGACCACCTAAGCATTTTGCGACTATGTAAAGAGGTATAAATAAGAGACAAAGATAAACAATATCTTTTCAACTTTATCAACATGCAACTCATGTGGAGTTGCAAAAAATCTGAAGTGAGAGTGTAAACAGACCATTGTGTCACACGCGAAACGAAACAAACCAAGAACAAGTCTGGCAACAGTGGCACTAGAACTGGTGTGCACACACACAATAGATGAAAAAGCCAAATAAGAGAATTGGCAACCAGGTGCACACATAACTTTGTGCACACACATAACTCATAAGTTAACAAAAAGAATATCCACACGAGCTAGAAGTGCAGAGCTGAAGATTGGAGCGAATGAGATCTGAAAGAAATTTGTATTTGGAGCAAAAATCAATGCTGATTAGTCAGTTGTTTTGTTAACTACTACAAATAATGCCACGGGATTTCAGGATTACTACATTAGATTAGGTTGTGTTAGAAAAATTGTGTGGTGCTGCTGTAATGTTAATTAAATATCTCTGCAAACTAGGTCTAAAGTTGATGTAAAACTTTTGTGTAAATTGAAGTTAAAGTAATGAAATCAGTGGGAGAAACACACGACTCTTTAGAAAAACTTTCCTTTGTATTAATTATGTTCTTCTTCCTCAACATTCTTAGCCTGAAAAACCAACAATTTCTTCAATTGTTCGTCTTAGTCTCCGGCACATCTTTGCAACAAATAGCATTGATAAATCGCAATGCTGCAAATATGAAAAATGTTCTGCAATTGTGTGAAAAAATGTTATATATAAAGAGTGCATTCATAAGTAATAAATATGTTGAGAATGAAAGAGATAAAAGACAAGGGGGTAGTCGGAAACAAGAAGAGCACAACAACTGAGTATACAAATTAGCTGTTCAGAATATAGCAAGACTGCAAGAAGTTTGGTTCAAATTAAGACTAACAGATAGGATTTTTCTCTCCATACTGTAGAACCTTTATTGAAAGAAAGTGAGCACTCAATTATTTCTGGTATGGACCTCACCCAAACAGGAAAAAATTTCGACATGACGGGTGCACTTCCTATTACATTCAGATCAAAAAGCTTCCATATTTTATATAATGATAAGATTCTAACATTCTGGTACTTTATTTGCTGCAGCACCTGCTGATTCTGAAATTGTAAATGGCGAACTAGAATTTGGAGGTGGAGAGCCAGAAGTTTTTTATGGGGGCACTGTTCTTTTACTCGTCTAGGTAGGGCTATAATGATAGTTTGAAAAATGACCTAAAAATTGTCATCTGAATGTGTCGAGCAATTAATCAGTTTGTTTCGTTTGTCAAATTATGTAGGGAAGTGATTTTTAGTCCCCATCAAATTGTTCCGGTATCCCCCACTTTAAATGTTTTATTTTTTATTTTTTATTGACCTAATTAAGTTTGAAATTTAGAAAAAGTAGTATAAACAAAAACCCTAATTAAGTTTAAAATTGGGGAAAGACTTATAAACAAAAAACCTAATTCAGTTTGAAATGGGAGAAAAGATTCATCACCTCCTGAATCTGGAATCATGGCAGACCTACACCGTTCGGTGGCAGCAGTAAGCTTTTCTTTCACTTATAAAATCACTTCTTGAACTCAATATTACGAATGATGCAATGCACATCTGTAATGTCTAAAAGAAATGTCTTAGCCTAATGTCAATTAAGACCACCATAGAATAAAGATAGGACATCAGACACTACCTTGTCCGAAAAGAATCTTTAAATAATATGAAAGGTTCAAGGAAAGGTTGATAGCATTTTACCATTATTCAGGGAATCATCAAGATAAATAGATGTCATAATCTTTTCATTCTTATTCATTTACTCTATACATACAGATTATAGATTTTGCCTGTATAGTTGATCATTTCATCTTTTCTCTTCATTATGCAGTTTAGTATTCGGTACGCTAACAATAGTAGGTTTGTAATAAATGGGTATATGATAGATGATCTCATCGGTCGAAGAGCTATAAGTTATTCTATTAAACTTTCTAGTTGACCATTTTCACCTTGTAATGGTGTTCAATCAAATTCACATAAACAAGCTAGACAATGTGGGTTTTGGAATTATTCTGCAAATATAGTACCTAAGATGGAAATAAATCATCCTTGGATCAAAGTTATAGGTTTATTTTAAACTACATCTTAGTGCTTCATTATTTTTTAATAGTTTCAGTAAATAAATATATATATAATGATTTCGTTGGCAGACTTTTCAAGTAGTGGTGGGACTACTTTGAGGCCTAAGAACTCGTACGAGTGTGAATTATATTCTGTATCCATTTCTTTGGCTGGAATATGAACTTTTGACCCATCACTTTTGATATTTCCTTTATAATATTAAAAAACCCACTTGTTTCACCAAGACATAACTAATTATCCTAGTGGATGAATTTATTTATCTTTAAAGTGCCCAGCTGGACAATTAATTAATAGCTGAGACAATTTAGATTTCAGAATTCCGTCTATCACAGTATCACCATGACAGAATGCCTTTATATCATAAATTTAATATGCTGAAAGATCCCATAATGGTATTAATATAACTCTGCACCACTGAAAGCATTTGAATCATGTCTGATAAACTCATCGTTTGCTTTAACTTTCACTGATAAGTTTTATTCCGTGAATATTTTTATGATTTCCATTCACCCCCTCTAGAAATATTTAGCCATACTTAGGTTATATATTTATTGGTGAGAGAGGTGAGAGAGGGTCATTTCTGCTTGAATTTCTTCAAGGGTTCGCCCCTTTGGCTCTGGCACAAGCTTTGCAACAAATAGAATAGTTAAAACCCAAATGCTTGAGAATATAAAAAAGGTTCCTGCAATTGTGATGTATGAAAGAATTAATTAGTTCATATGCCATAAAATTTATAGTGAAAGGAGAAATAAAAGGTTGGGGGGACGGCGGTTAAGGTATACCTGTAGAGCCATTCCATCATAAAATTGAAGGAGTATGAAATAATCCACCGGTTAAAAAATAGGCAAAAGTTGCAAGGCTTCCACCTGAGCCTTTACATTTACAGGAAATACCTGAATGGAAAGTCATCAGTCAATTTGGAATCTTACACAGAAACCATCTTGTAGTGCTGAAATTCTGTTAATATTTTCGGGAAAAAATATGAATGGGAATAAAACTTGATTGAGTTTTATACCTCAGACATTATTAC